TATGTGTATGTATATGCATATGCATATGCATATGCATATGTATATGTATATGTATATGTATATGTGTATGTGTATGTATGTATGTATGTATGTATGTATGTATGTACGTATGTATGTATGTATGTATGTATGTATGTGTAGGTGCACAAGCTTCTTTTCTTTGGTGGTACTTGCAGGCACGTGTTGGCACAGGGGATTTGTGCTGCAAGTTTGCTTGAGCTCAGGCAACAAGATCATCCACTGTCCACACGTCATGTCTTTTCATACTGCAACCCAGTCCACGTCCTTGAAGCGGACAAATGCTACAGCCTAAGCTGCACGGGATATCTCTAGATCAAGGATGGACGACGCGTTCCAATACGATGAGCAAACTGCGCTTTGCACAGAGCAGCATCTTGGCCGAGATATTTTTCACCCCTACTGTCCCTTGACGTTCCATGTCGTTAAATAGGGTCGGCCTCAGCCTCCTCTCATTCTGAAATTCCCGCTTTCATGGTCCTACTTCTATCCCATGTATCTAGAACCGCGGGTTGCATCAACGCAGTTTATGAGGAGGATCAGCCGAACTTCTAAGGAGCTATCCCTACATGGCCGAGACCGGCACGTGCGAGGAACCTAGTGGGGCCCTAGAGTTCCACTAGTGTGCAGGGATTCCAAAGGATGCCCGCACAGGCTACCTTGTTGGCTCTGGAACCATATTGTTGGGACCGCACTACCAAAGTCAACTTCTTGGATTTGCCCAGCAGTTCAGCGCTTTAGGCTTTGTTTTTGTTGTGGCTTTCACAAGAGTATACGTCCAACAGGCATCGAAGTCCTGAAAAATCCAAGCCTGCTACAAATTGTCAGGTTCAGCATCGAAGCACCCCAGGCTATACACTCAAAATGTTCGTGTAGCCTGAACAACGATTTGCCGACAACTGCTGGTTCATGACCAGAGGCCATTTCTCGCGGTGTAATGGGGGTTCTTAATATTACCCCACCCCCGCTCCGCCCCCCAAACAAGTAAGGATTTCAGATATTCCGGAGTCGCCCAATCAAAGTTCGGCAAACTTGCTTTAGGGGGTCCAAGAGGAACTCATAAACCCAAGGGCTCCAGGACTCAGATCTCCAGGCCCAAGGCTTGGGATGCATCTGCAATTCGAAATACTCATCCTTATTTTCAGAGCCTGGGGTGCTGGGGTGCATGCCTGCAAGGGCCATGATTATTCCGTACCCTTTTTCAATGGCCATTATTCCGTTTTGTGAGTCTCGGTGTGCTACCCCTCACTTTCACTTGCTGGCTTCTCCGGCTCCTCTTCTCTCTTTTTCTTGTTGTGTTTTTCTCTCTCTCCAAGGTTTTTCAGAGAAGAGCATGGATTTGTTCCGCTTCTGTCTTGTTATTAATGCGTTCAGATTAAAATGTCGCTGTATTCCTTACCGGTTTGTACTAATACGTTAAGCCAAAAGTTTGCTCTCTTACGAACCCATGTACTATTAGGAACCCAACATTGTGATGTCTGCACGCACGCCATGTAGAAGGTTTCATTGCTCTCTTCGTTCTGGTAGCTGCTTGCATGGGATGTCTGGTTTCAACATATTTGGGTCGCAATGGTACATGATAGTCATTGTTGGGAGCCTTGCTCCCAGACCCCAAATGTCCAATTCTATACCACAAAACCCTGAACTTTGATTGAACATAATAAGTCCGTCTACAGACTTGAAACTCTGTGACCATTAGGTATACCCACAAAACATGCAGGGCAGGTAACATTTAGTTGCTCACAGGCTATGACGGCACCCTTTGGGCATTTCTGTCCACATTTTTCCAAGGGCATCTCCCCCAACAAAGGGATGCCCAATGTCCAGGTATGGCCTATGCGACGTATAAGCCCGAGACCCCAAAAGCCCCAAACATTTACCTTGTCTCGCGGCAGACCTCGAGCTGCACAGTCGCGATTCCAGCCTACAGCGTGCACAGCTACGTGGACTGTTGGGCTTGGGCATCCTGAACTGGTGGTCTTGGGTTTAAAGGTTTCGGGCTTAATTGGCCCTAAAAAAGGTTTTTGGTTTTGGGGGGTCGAGCGCTCCAAACTTAGTTCTCAATTCTCAATGGGTCGTGGGCACGTGGATCCGCAAAGCGGTGCAAGCAAAAGCTGCTGATGCGCTTGAGAGGTCGAGTGCAATATCTAAGGTCGATAGGACAACATGTTTAGGGCTAATGCTCGTTGCTCTCCACGAAGGGTTTTGCGTCTGGATGTGTGGAAGAACGGAAAGCGTTCTGGGGATCTGTGCACAAGGAGTTGCCATCCCTGGGAATTCAGGCCTGACTGTTGTTAGGTGATCACTGCGCTATCTGTGGGCTACATACCCTCATGCAGTCCCTATATGCATTAGAAATCACTCACTTATCCTTGTGCTCAATCCAAGCTGCACTTGAAGAGCTCTCCGTCCTGATTCATCAAGTGGCCTTAGCTATCATAACAATGTGCTAGTCTTGTCGAGGATGCGGCTCCTGTTTTTTTACGTACATTCCGAATCTCGTAGAATGACAGACGCTTAGCAGCCAGTTGCAACCCATATTCTGGCCATGTTGTCGATTCTCATTGTGAGACAGTTGGGTTTTCTCCAGGACGTGCCCACTGATGACGAGAGGGCCCTGATGGACGCCGTTGCACAACAACCGGTGCCTGAGTCTGCGAAAGTGGAAAGGTAAGCCTGTGGTAGGTTTGCGTTTGGCAGAGCAGCGCATGTCTGCTCGCTACTACATGACATGGGTGCTTGTTGTTTCTTCCATATGTTTTGTTTTGCTTGTGCAGATAGGCCTGCTTTAGCCATCCCTCCCTATCCGACACCTCAAAGCATCCGTTCTAAGCCGTGAAAGGCCAGATATAAGCTCTGACCTCATATCAACTCCTGGTCGAAGCCCAACGGCCCAGCATTGAAAGCCTGCACATTGAGCCCCAGACTGTAGATCCGCAAAGCAAGACTCGCCCGATTCAGCGGGTAAAAACCATGAACCCTACAACGGAAGCTTGGAACCCTATGTCAAACTTGGCTCCTTTGGAGCAGCACTAAGGTCTCCGTTGCCATCGAGGCAGACAAGCGTGCCTTCCAGAACTACCAGAGCCTCGATGCGACCAAGGGTGGGAGCTTTAAGTATCAGAAGCCTACTGGCATCTGATGTCTTTTCAGACTGATTCGATTTTTATGCTGGTGTTTCTGGATGTTGGAATGATATAGCCGATTCAGTCCTTCGATTAAGGACTTCGGAGCAATCAGTTTCTGTGAATATCTCCTCATGTACAGCCATGTCAACTAATCTGTAGACCCTGTATTCTGATGCCATATTGGCTCAATACTAGGGCCCTTGAGCTAACCCCGCTTCGCAGTGTTCAAAAGCTCTGCGCGACCAGATTCAAACATTCCTTTGAAGCTTCAAGTGTAGATCCCTTTACAGGGTTCCCAGACCTTACGT